ATATTTAGCAAATCAACTGTTTCGTCGCGCCATGGTAAAAATAGCATAACATTTTCTCTGTAAAAGTCTTGTTCATTTTTATCCACATTAAACAGTACATACCGTATAATTTTTCTGATTTTACGTTTATGTATACATTTGTTCGGTTTTCCGATTAGCGTGGAGTCAATCGAATAAGCGGTTTCTTCTTCAATATCAGTGTCCAACTCTGAATATTGTTCTTTGCAGGTTTTTTTACCACTAATTTCATAATTGGCTCCAAATTCAGCCAAAGTTATATCTTCAAGACTATAAGGTCTTGACGAATAGTATTCAATGAGGCCATCATAGAAAGTATCATCATATTGTGGATCCATTTCTTCTCTTACTGCTAATGGCTTCAACATTCTAGTTCTTTTATCCGGATGGCTGGTGTTTATAAATGTATACCCAGTTGACGTATTGCTTTGCTTCATACCTAAGCAAGTGTACACTGCTTCCAGTGCAGACATTTCCTGAGTTCCCGAAAACATGGAAGCTATCCTTTTCAGTTATTCTTTGACATATATATCAGTGGACTTGAGATTCTCGACAATGTTCCTCATTACCTTTGATATTCCACGTTGACTATTTTCCAATAAATCGTACTCTATTACATATCTGACACAAGAGTAAACATCCAATATAAACTGTAGGTCCATATTAGATTGTCACAGCGAAAATAATTCCTCATTGAATCCAGAAATCATTCTTTGTTTTATGGATCGTTTTAGAAAAACTGTCGGCCGTTTGATAACAGTTCGAAAATGGATTTATATTCATTAACATCTGATATCATCAGTTCCTTCGCTTTCGAGATCCGAACTATTTTCCATACTCTTGGTGGTTTCTATGACATGAGCCAACCAAACTCTGTCTATTTCAGCACCTTGATACAGAGGTTTTTTAATCAAATCTTGCAATGCTGCTACTACTAACGACGGTCTAACATTTTGATAAAGATAATGTTGTTTAAAACATGATTTTCTTTTCAATTTAACTTTTATCATTTTAACCGCTGCTAAATTGTCGGCACGTCTGGGCAAAATAGATGTAGTCTTAGTGAGATCTATCTGAACATTGATAACGTTGCCTTTGATTTTTAGCTGTCCGTCACTGCGGAGACATTTGAATATTTTCATAAATGGTAATCTACGTGAAACCATCTGCTTTTCAAATTGATTTAGTTGAGTAACTGAAGGTGGAACACTGTTCAACTCAAAACCATTTCATATGTACAATGGAAGAATTTTTGATTTCTTCATATGCGGATGACAACTTGTGCATACCTGTACACTACTCTTGACATCACTTGGAATTTACATCCCTAATCACCTGAGAAGATCGGAGTTGCACTTATTGACACTACATGGGAAACGTAATCGATGGCACGAATAACATTTTTCTGATAAACCTTTATCAAAATATATTCAGAAAATAAAACATCTTCCCTCTGACTGGTTTCATTTAATTTCTGCCGTTCTCTTCTTTTATATGATGTAGAATTTGGTGTTTTTCTTTTACTAGATATATTTTGCAGAAGACTACTATCAGATGGTATTCTTCTCTTCTTCATGTTTTGAGAGTATTTTATTTTATATGTATTTTTGAAAACTGAATTTTTCAGTCTTTTTGATCTGTTTATTTCACTGGAAATCTGGTTTTTAACTTAATTTGTTTGTTTGTCCATGTTTAAACGACTGGTGATCTGGTTTTTAAGTTTATTCGCCAGATCTTGCAATCGTTTGTCCATATTTTTCCGACAAGTGATCTGGTGTTTTTTTCTATTCACAGGGTCTTGCAATCGTTTCACCATGGTTTGACGACTGGTAATCTGGTTTTTAACTTTATTCGGTGGATCTTGCAGTCGTACGTCTATGTTTTTACGACTGGTGATCTCGTTTTTTAATTTATTCACCAGATTAAATCACATTGAGGTAAATTACCAACCAGTTTTTCAAAACTAGGAGCCATAAATCTACAAGTATCCACGAATTGAATTTGAAATCGATTTGTAATATATTTTGTAAATAAATAAATTTTTCTTCTGAGTTTGGTATTACGAGAGGTTATGAAAAAAACATGGTACAAAATTAGGTTTTACCATTTATAAATTACATTTACTGCATGTAGTTCCTCTGTATTTTCCAGTTAAATGGTTGTGGTCTCTTACAGGTAAATTGTTGCTCTTAAATTTACCTTTACACAGCGGACACGTCTCTCGATCAGTGATATCGCGGTGTAATCTATTTTCATTTTCGTTCATTATAAGCCCTATGTTTGTGTTTAACAGCTTTTCTATTTTGAAACCTACTTGTACAATTTCTTGCAAAAACTTTTTTGCAACGTCACCTTTGCTAAAACTTGAATCACCTCTGCACACGACGGGGCCCGTCTCAATATCATATTTTTCTAACAATTCTTTAGGTATATCATCACTCGGTTTAACATAATAGCAATAACTCATGACATCATGATGGTGAATAATACGAGTGTTTGATTCATTATCGCTTTTATTTTCTTTTTGCAATAATGATTCAAAATCTGTTGTATTAAACCTGGCTGGTTACGGCTTTTGAACGTTGATTTGTTTATAAGTTTCTGTAGTCGCCTGTCAGTCACTACGATTTCCATTTTTAATCTATGCCTCATCGATTCAAGGGTTTTCCCTGTAAAGTAATAAATTAAGTTTTTAAAAGTTCAAAACAAAAATCAAAAGTTAAAAGTAACATACCAAATACAGCGTTAATCATGAGCTTAAAAAAATGACTCTCAAAATCATTTTTCGAGTTCTTCCTCAAATTCGTATTCAATAATATATATTCAGCTAACCACCCTGACTGATTGAATTGAATAACTCTATGCACCTAAAGTAATAATAATAATAATAATAATAATAATATGAAATTCATTAAAAATATAATATTATAAAAAATATAAATAGTTTTACTTTTTCGACTATTTATCCGTTTTTAATAGCCTGCTGAAGGTTTCTGTAATGAACAATGTAGTTTTTTTTTTTACTCTAGGGTTGCCATCAGTTTTGGAACCTTTGAGCTGAGGGGAGTGGCGTTTTGAGGGAGAAACGGAAAGTCGTTATGCCGATCGTGCACTTCTTTAGGATATGATAATATATCCACCTCATAAATACGTCCTATAGGTGAAGTGTCGTCTAAATCATTTAATCCTGCAAGCGTAGGTGGTTAAATGGGTTAACATTTAAATCCGTCAGTGGGCATGTATTGACTCATCGCGTAACCATAGAGATTATTACCTATGAATATTTTATATTGATAAGGTAGGAAAATATTTTTTTTTTATTATATTTATTCTTACAATCCTGATACACCAACCACGACTTTTCTTTCTCAGCATCATAATCTGGAACTTTCTCATGGTTTGCCGTCGCATACCGCTTGCTTGCCTGTACCAGTCCTCCACAAATACCTATAAAATAAAAATAATAATAAAAAATCTTTTAAACTTTTTAAACTTAAAAACTTTTTTTTTTACCTTTTTCGAACATTAACAGCATCTCGTAATCTGATAAAAGCTGTAATCTAATTTTTGTCTTTTTCAACATACAATGCAAAGACATTCCTGGAGCAGTATAATAAAAAGCGGGATCGATGGCATAAGCTTTCATACATACATCTCGAAAGTTTTCAAATATGTCAGCAAGCAAAAGCACGTCAATTTTTAAGTATAAATCAGAATATTCTCCTAATGTTTTACACGCAAAGTGCTCCCAAACCACCACAGCGTGATCATACTCCTCGTCTTTAATCACTTTTTCTTTAAGTGTACTATAAAATTCGTCTTTCCCTTTTAAACTCTCCTCATCTAATTTCCCCCAACTATCCGTATACTTGTAAGGGGGTATCCCTTACGAGTAACGAGTGACATATCTCCGGCAACAAAATGTTTGCCTGTCTCGCGGAATTTGTCAAGGCCTGGGGTTATAAGATTTTCAGCAAGACTTTCCAAGCTCGACGCCATAAACCTCATCGTATCAATAAACCGTATAGTGAAAGTACTACTTAAATATTTTGAAAAAGAAATAAATTTCTCTTCAGTATTCGGGATGACATTAATAGACTTGGTATCGTAAGCTAGTTCAGAAATTATAATATTAGAGTCATAGTTACTTAAATTGTGTAAGTAACACGGTACAAATTTCGGCTGTTGTAATATAAGATTGAATTTAGAACAAAGCGTCTGTCTAAATTTACCTGTTAGATGGTCGTGGTCTCTAACTTTATCACCTCTGCTGTACGATTTCATAAATTACATATTTTACACTCTTGGTGTGTTTTTTCTTCTTCATCGCTCATAATGAATGTTATATTAGTTTTCAGTAACTTTTCTATCCACCTACCTACATCTACGATTGCGTCTACAAAATGTTTGGCTACCTCCTCACAGTCTACATTTCCTCGGTAAATAACCGGTGTTGTCGTAATCATATATTTATCTAAAAGTTCTTTGATACGTTATCAGCCGCCTTAATCACGAATCCGTAGCTCATAGCTTTATGTCTATGCATGACCGTTGTATTACCCCCTCCCCCCTAATCTCATCGGTCTTCACTAACCGCGCTTCGAAGTCAGCATATATTACAATAGGATGTCGAAACGTATTTTCCCATGACTTAAATTTGATTTGATCTTCGGGTTTAGGCATTACAGGTAAAATTGCGTTATGGGACCCACAAATTATCATATGCTCGTCAAGCCCCGCTTGACCATTTTTTCTATGTTTAAGCTCTCTATTGTCAAAAGAAGTAAAACATCGCTTACAAAACACGTGACTCGCTACATGCCCCGTTGATTGAGAACGAATAAGCCTAGAAAAATTGCTTATATAAATATAATGTATTTTTTCCTCCTTCGTAATGTAGAGTAAATCAATATGTTCTTCTTTCTCCTTGTCGACGACTTTCAGCGGAAAAACAATATACGACATAGTTTTTAATAGGGGGTTTAATTTTTCTCTAGTCCATAAACATTAATACTAACAGAAGGATTCTTCCGTTCAAAAATTTTGACTTCACTCAACGGCGTAGGGAACGATAAACCTGAGAAGTCATATTTTTCAAAATGTTGGTGGTAATTATTTCCGATACGACACCTGTTTCTACCAGTGACATGTTTTGCCAGAACACTCCATTTGAAACAGTGTCGATCTTTATTCTGTGGATTTATCGTCCCCCGTTTTCTCTGAATTTCACCTGGTAAAGAAATATAAGTCTCACCATTTCTCTCCATAACCTGATCTCTCTCCCCCTCTTCGCTTTCAATATTTTCGTCACCTGCACCTCTACCGTTATTTTCATTATCGTTGTTTTGTATACACCCAGGGAGATTAGAATAACCTGCACCAAGCATAGGTGTATACCTATAAACTGTTAGTATGATGCCATCTATGTTTTGTAATGTAAACCGTGAAACGTACGAGAAACATACGTGAAACGTATGTCTCTTCCTCCTCTAATAGTTTTCCGTACTCCTGATCAATTATTTCGCATAAATCCGAATCTAAGAAAATCACCCTAGCCGAAGTCTTAAACGATCTATTCTCGGACGAGTTTTCAATGTTGATTCGGTGATACGTAGCCTCCAGTTTCAAATTAAATTTAATAGGACTTTTTCGAACAAAAGATTTTAATAATTTTTTTAAATCTAATTTAATTGATGAGAAGAAAAGTAATATAATCTCGAATATTTAATACATTTTTTGCGAAATAATTTACTACGATCCTATTATGCGAAGAACTTATTTCAACGAACCCTGCCTCCTGAACTACCTGCATTCGTATTTTTTTTAATTTTTCGCGGTTTTCGTATTTTCTACGTGTATACACGCTTTCCCCTATTTGTAGTAGTATAATAATCTAAAATAATTTTAAAAAATCAGAAAAAAAAACCCTAATACCACCCTTTCATAATATTAAAAAAAAATCTTACCTGTCTCATCGCATAGCCCCGCATCCTCAACATATTTCATCGTTTCCACACATATTTCGTCGCTCGCTTCATCATCAAGCCATTGCTCATTTTCGCGTACTGGGAGAATAGCTGATTCCCGCATGACTTGACTACTGTTAGCTACCAGCTGGAGTGTCTGGTACAAGTATTTGCAGAGCAAGCTCTATGTAATATCTATACGGAATTATTTGACTGAGGGTCATTGGTTCTGGTTGAATGACAGATACACTGTGGTGTGGAGGAACAACTACCTCATTATGTTGTACTGTAGGTATACGAGCAATACCTTAAGAAAAAAAATTAGTAAAGAAACTAAATAAATTAACTTCAAAAAAAATTATAATAGGTATATCAAAATATGTTCTGTACATACCATGTTTGATCTTCATATGGCGCGCCAAGTTAGACTTGTAGGAAAATGCTAAAAGGCAAGATGGACAAGAAAGGTGGACTGCATTATGCGTTTTCTCGTGTCCAACCAAATTATACTTTCGGCTGAATACCGCAGGACACTTACCACAGTTAAACATAATATTAAATTCGTTAAAAGAAAAAAAAGTGAGAAAAATATAACAAGAATATACTTGATAAAATAAAAATCTAAAGGTCGTAATCACGAAATATGTGTTCACCGGGCAAAAGACTGGATACACACTGACCGATCATCAGCGCTTGACGGATCAGGGTACCGAGCGGCCGTTGATGTCTGGAATTTTTAGAGGTGGTAAAATGTTAAGCCATGTATTACCAAAATATTATTTAGACTTTGGCTATGATAAATCCGTGATTCGAGTAATGTACTCAATTATTTTGATCAACATTTTCTTTAGAAATAATAGTTGTTATGTTACTAAAGCTAACTACGTGTGTGGTCACCAACAATAGTGGTTTATTTTCAACCCTGCTATAACAATGACTCTATCCTACGATACGAATCGACATGCTTACAATAGATTTTCTTCCCATTGACTCTCTAGATATTTCTTCGTCACTTACTCGAAGAAGCCATATAAAATTAGTTGCTAACATACCAAGAAATACAAGCATCTGCTAATCCAAAATTACTACTAACATAGCCAGCTAACAAAATATTAATATAGTTTGGAAATATGAATTATAGATATATTTATATAATTTATATATATATTTGTTTATTCAGTGAGATAATTGAGTCGCCAGTCGTTCGGGGAGCTAACCCTGACACTATTATTTATTTAAGACGGTTGAATCAAGAATATTCACTTATAAATAATTCAGGTGAGAAGAAGAGGATATGGTCAGCACATGCGAGATCGGTTTCTCTACGGTGTAATGTAGAATTGAGAGTTTTGTGTATGTTGATGAGTGAAAGTCACTATGATCGAACGATTCCTGAAGATGAGGTTATAGTAAGTTTAAACATACGAATATTCAAATATTGTAGATAATATGATTAGATTTACTAATATCAGATAATTTATTATAGATTCAACTATCGTTTCGTGTGTTATTGCGCTCATCTATAACGATCAGGAGGCATACCCAGTACTATATCATTATGCAGTTACTATATGGACTCAGGAGAATTGCGATTTTTGATTCCGAACGCATTAGGGAAAAATTAGAAATGGATTGGACGTTAAATGTCCTAACCATTCTTACCTACTTAGATTTCGACTTCGACACTTCTCGTTTCATTCTTCACAGAATAAGAACCCAGGTGTAAATATTTATTAAAAATTAATTTACTAATAAATAATATTTGCTTTATTACCATACATCAGTTTATATTATTTCAGAAAAACTATATGCTCACTATCTTTACTCACATAATATTTATTTTTACCTAGCATAATGTTTCTCGAAATATTTAAAAATATTTCAAAAAACCATAATTCTATCAAAGTAAATGTTTAAATCAAATGTTTCTCTCCCTCTTTCACTATAAAAATGTTTGAAATCGAGGGACGGTCGGTACCTTACCTCATGTGGCTATGAGCGCTCAGTGTGTATCCAGTCTTTAGTCTGGTGTACACACATTTCACGTTTACAGTTTTTTTATACGAGATTTTTATTTACCATAGTAGGTATTAATTATTATTATTATTTTTTTTATATTTCGTTTGTGATAATCATTACCGGAAAAAATGTGAGCATTTTGTTTTATATTATTCATAAGATATTTAAGAATTACATATAATTTATTCGACTTTTAGATGTCTAATAATTCTTCGCCGAGTACTCTGATGTATGAAGGAGATGAGTTTAATCGACGTCTGGCGGAAATACCTATGGAAGGTAGTCAAAATACAGATCACCAGTCTCCAGTTGTCATTGAAGCCAACGTGCATGACATTTTCATGTATGGTGAGATGGTAATTTTATTATTTTTTAAAATAAAATATAAAATAAATTGTTTATTATTATTTAGATTCAATCCGGAGATAGTGGTTACTCCACTGACCAGAACACGCAGGTGGAAAATCGTGACTGGCATAGAGTTTTTTCTCCTTTTCTACCCTCTGCAAGTCCATCTCCATCTCGACTATCACAGAGGGAGAATAGGGTACGATCTTTGTCACCGGTTCAACCTGTTTTTCTGGAGGAAGCTTCGCCCGATATGTTCCCGCCAACAACTCCGAGGACCTACGAACTGAGGGTGAGAAACGATCTCTTCCCGGACTTAGTTTCTCAGCCCATGGTACCCCCGGAATATAACTTGTTAATTGTCGGGGAAATTTTGAACACGTCGCGGCATTCTGGAGGGCAATCACCAGAAATGGATTTGAGAGATGACGGAAATGATGAGGAGATGATCTGTCATATGGAAGCATATGAAGAAGATGAAGAGCTGAACCGGTGCATGGATTTATATGAAGGGGGGGAGTAATGACTGAATTATTTATTATTTTCAAAATTTATGTTAATATATATATATTATAAATATATTTTTTTGATAAGCCAATTTCTTGGACGTGTCGCCATACACACTGAGATAAGTGAAAAAAATAATAAATAAAAATGTATTTTATTATTTCACCATTAGATACATGAACTCTTCCTCTACATTTTTGTTTGTATTGCACACATCGCCAAATGCTTTTTTCTGGCTTATTGCATTCACGCTGGTACATGTATCCACCATCCGCCAAAATGTTGGTGCCTCTTTCACTCTTAATATATTTTAAACTCATAATTAAGTCAATTATAATTTTAAAAATAAAATAAATTAAAAATAAGTTAATTCAATCAAATAAAATTAATTAATTTAGTATAACTAAAATATAAAAGTAAATGGTGTCGAAAACGCGGTACACTATCAATTGTCGTATACTATCAATTGTCGCGCAATCTATTGTCCACTATCTATTGTCGCACTAACAGTTGACCACTATCTATTGACGGTATACCATATAAATATATGGTAAGATAATGAAAAATTACTAACACTTACGCATTTTGTAAAATTCGTCTGTTAGGCGAGATGACGACTACACGACACATAATTATATTATAAAATATAAAAATATAAAAAAAATTTAAATAAACAAAACTATTAAAAAGGACTAAACAACACAAATGTACGGTTCAACGTTAAAAACACGACTAGTCTAACATCTGGGTTTCTAAGATATTTCATGAATACAATACGCTCGATGAAACCTTAAAAGAGATGTCGACTTACCCAGAATTGTATGTTATATTTTTATAAATATGTAATTATTTAGACGTATCATTCCTGTATAAAATATACAAATGGGTAATATGTGTAGTCTCAACCCTTGTTGAAGAATGTCGTTGTTAACAATAATTAGGCTATGTCGGACCCACACAAGACGTTTCATTCCTGTATAAAATATACAAAGGGGTGAACATGTTCAGTCTCGACCCTTGTTGAAGAATGTTATTGTTAACAATAGATAGGGTATGTCGGAACACACATGTCGTTGCCTGTATATTCCTGAAGATTGTAATTGTATAAGTATATTATTCTTAAATGTGTTACAAATACAAACATGTAGCATAAGACCTTGATACATAAATGTATCAACCAGTTATTACATTGAGATGTGTACAATAATATTCATACAGCCATATACATTAAGAATCATATCAACAATATATCAGGTGTGTGGCCTAGTCTCTAGGCCCTAGTGGTTTAAAGCGTCAGTGCTATAGCTCGGGGGTCGAGAGATCGAATCTCACCAATCTTTTTTTCAATATTTATTTAATGGTAAAAGATATTACAATAATATGCACGATAATATTGTATATGTACAATAATATGTACAATAATATGGTATCATATGACTGTTAGATAAGAGACTGATAACTCTATGTTGTACGCATGCGCTATATGATGACGAGCAAAGATGAGCAAGGACGGGGTGGGATAAAAAATACGTCGCGCACGTGTGCGG